TATGATCCTCAGTCCTCAAACCCAGTGACTCAGTACCTCCAAGTGTTTGCTTATGGCTAAGAAGTTTTCCTACTTTTGCACCCTGCATGCTTTACTATATACATGGATATATTTGTAATATGTACAGATACATAGGGAGAAATACCCTCTGCCAAATACACACACACTCTCACTCACCATGGATGTGCTCCCATACACCTGTTCAGCTCACATATCTACCTGTGTATGTACTTGTAAAGTATTGCTTGTTATTACTGTTACTGCAGGATTCTCTGTATAATAGTATTTACCATTGTCTACCTTCCAGGTCTTCCTTTGCCTTGGTCATGTCATGCTGACCTCCCGCTTGTAGATTGACTTTCCCTTCACCCAAGTTCATACAGATCTACTCTCTAATTAGTGGTTTCTGTCCTTCCTTCTCCCATCCCTGGTGACTATCGAAGAATGTTTCTTTCTGTGTTTAAATCACTTCTTGACTTTTATTAATTATCTCATACAGTATTTGTTCTTCTGTGATTGATTAATTTCACTCAGCGTAATGTCCTCCAGGTTCACCCATGTTATAAGATGTTTCATGGATTCATTGCTATTCTTTAATATTGCGTAGTATTCCACTGGGTGTAGTTATCATAGTTTGTTTATCCACTTATCCACTGATGGACACTTAGGCTGTTTTCATATTTTTGCTATTGTGAGTAGTGCTGCATTGAACATGGGTCATTATCATATCTTTTTATTATAATGTATTTATGGTAGTATCTTATATGACAGTAACCCCAACTTAATTTTAATAATTTTTGTTACTTTGCCAATTTTCTTAAATATTTATTATTCCATGTGAACTTTAAAATAATTTATCCATTTCTCCCTTCAAAAACAAAATTGTTGGTACTCTTATTGACATTTCATCGAAATTATTTAGTAATGTAGGAAGGATTGACATTTTTTGATTATAGGTTTTTCATCTTGGAGCATACCAACTGCTTTGGAACTTTTTACAACCTTTTTCTATTTTTTGGTGATACCTTTAAAATTTTAATATACATCATAGCCTTAATGTCTGAAGTAAGACACTATTTCTATATTTATCCTGAGTAGATCAAGGAACTTGGAAAATTTAAGCTCTCATCTGTCTTCCACCTTCGGTGCTGTATTGTCAGCTGTTTAGTCTCACCTTGTCTTTATCCCCCCAGTAGGTTTATTCAGTCAGTACT